GAAGTAAGGGGGAGCTGATCACAATGATCTGCATCTAATCCCCTCCAAGGGAGATGGACAACAGAAAATTGGGTGAAGGGAGACATCAGTCAGTGTAAGACATGAAAAAATATTATAAATTATCAAGGGTTCATGAGGGAGAGAGGGCTGGGGAGGGGGAAAAATAGCTGATACCAAGGCTCAAGTAGAAAAAAAATGTTTTGAAAATGATGATGGCAACATATGTACAAATGTCCTTGACACAATAGATGTATGTATTGATTGTGATTAGAGTTGTATGAGCCCCCACTAAAATGATTAAAAAAGAAAGAAAAAGATGAGCAATATTGGAGGGATTGTATTCTCAAATTCAAAACAACAGTAAGCAAGTTGCAAGAATGGTATGTTAAGAAAATGTGTACTAACATAAGGACACAATATAAAGGTAGAGAAAACAAATATCCTCACATTAGATAACATCATAATAAATAGAGAAAAAAATTTAAAGAAAAAAAGATTTGCAGCCTCAGAAACTTGGTGTCTTTCTCCTCCTCTGTAAGATCATGGCTCATGTTGGGTTAGGGCCAACTCTGCTCTATTAGGACTTCCTTGGAACTGGTAGCCTCTCTTCAAAGACCGTATTTCCAGGCAAGGTTACGCTTATGGGTACTAGAACATCAGCATATCTTTTTGGGAGACACAGATCAATAATATTTCTTCCGTGTAAAATGATCCTTGGTAAAATGATTTCTCCCTCCAAAATCATCCAGATTGGGTGATAAATTAATGTCTGATAAAAGAAACACATAAACGCTCCACGATAAGGATAAAAACATGTGCTCCTGCGTGTGGATGCGGGCTCTTTTACATGCCACCGACACAATGGCGTCTGTAGTGGTAGCCGGGGGTCGCCCAGTTTCTGGTCTCCTGCCAAGGAGGCCGTTGTTTCTGGAGGCCCTTGGCCACACAGTCCATGTCCTACTCGCCGTTTCTCTGTTGCTCCAGGGAAATAGAGCCTGGCTGGATGGCCACTTGCAAACTTTTAAGACCCATATACTACTCAGTGAGCAGGAGGTAAGGAAATAGACCCACACGTCATTGGGCTAATTAACTGGAATAGCCCACGAAGCTATGACTAAACCCCCAGACAAAGGAAACTACTCCTATGAGTTGTTTGGGTCCATGACAGAGCTATCAGATACTACTTTTCCCCTTCGCCATCATTGTTACTGTATCACA